TTGTATATCCATTTTGAAGGCTCTTATTTAATCAGATACCAACCACAAAGACAGAAGCAGCAGTGTAAGCCTCTCTCAACCCTGCAGAATGGCAAGAGTGAGTTCTTGCTCAAGGATGACTCATCTTGGTGTGTGTTATGCCAACAGGAGAGACAGTTTGTGTGTGTGCACACAGACATGAGCAAATGTTTCTGTGGAACTCAAGTTCTGAGCTTTGTGCAGGCACCAAAATGACCTATTGCTAGTTTGATTCAAATTCAACAAGCTATCAACTAATGCTAATCAAAATGCATCAAATATTAACCTTTCACTGTGTTTCTTTCTGAATATTTTGAGGATATTTTACAGCTCGCCTCTTTTGTGTATCAGACCCAGACCAACCTGCATTTACCTCCCTTGCTTTTCTGCTTATTCAGTGCTAGGCAAACCATTCTTAATTAATTGCTCCTTAAATTTTCAGCCTCACTGATAGCTTATCTTAGCAATGAAAATATTTTTCTGATGTTCCTATATTTTTGCTTATTTTCCTAACTTAGTTTTTCCTACCTAAAGAAAAAGTGACTGATTATATTTAGCAGACACTGTGATAAAATTGCAGTGCCATTTTATTAGGCATTAGTAGCTGATGTACATAAGAATCTCTCTCCACCATTTGTTTTTCTCACATATTTTCCAAACAAAGTTGTAGTTTCAAAGAGGGAAAAAGTGAGAAGCTCACACAATAATTCCTTTGAGAGTCTGGCTTGATTCTATTTATTTTAAAGAAGGAAATCTCTCTTTGTGTATGCTTTCTGAGCAGTTGGGAGACCCAGTCTTGACTGTGGCCTCTGGACCCTATCATGATATAAATATTAATTCAAAACACTAATGAACTGTAAAGAAAAGGGGAGATACATCAGCTCATGTTTATACTGTTACTGTCTGTTTCAGAAGATAAATCCAACACAAAGCTTGTACACTTACAGTGACATTTCTTTGCTGTATCTTTCCCCTTGAGGACCTTGGAATTCTTTCCTTCATAAAAGGCTTTTCTTTTACACTGCCTTTTTTTAGCCATTATCTGTGAAAGACTTGATACTGCTATCTTAATGTCACTATGCACATTTTATTTCTGAGTAGTATATTACTTAAAATTTTTCCTGTAATAATTTTCATTTGGATGCAAAGGATTAGCCAGGTCTTCTGTCTCACTAACCTGGGATCTTGGACACCATTGATTTTATAATCCATAATGTCACCTAATATGTGACAATACATAGCTTTGATTGAGGATTCAATGCAATTCTCACAAGTAATTCACATCTAAAATTACTTTCCTCATGGAAATATTTGCATGAAATAAAAGTATTCCACGTATACATTACACAATCTTTCCCAACTTAAGATTATTCCAGAATCTATGACAAAAATAGACTTCAAGTGAAGAATATCAAGAGCCATTATCTATAAATATTTTCAGAAAAATGTTTTCAATCAATCAATCCAATGAAATGTGTGTGTATATACACACATACATTCTACACAAGAAACAATACTTCCAGAGTATGAGAATTAGCAAAGTCATGAACTTGGACTCAGTCACTCTTACTTAACTGTATTAAGATGAAATTCTCATGCTAAGCTGAAACAGATGTCTAGGGTTCATCAAAAGTTATTTGAGGAAGATAGGTGTATGGGGTGCGCTGGGATGGAATAAACTTTCCCCATGGTATTCCTCAGTGCTGTGCTTTGTCTTTTCAGCTGAAAAAGTGTTGATAATACACCAGTGCTCAGCTGAGCAGTGCTGGCACAGCACCAAGGCTATCTCTCCAACATTCCCCTCTCACCAGTAGGGCAGGGGTGGTCAGGATCTCAGGAGGGGATAGAACCAGGACAGTTGACCCAAGCTGAGCAAAGGGATATTCGATATGGCATCTGGTCAGCAAAAAGAGCTGAGAGAAAGGAGGCAGTGAGGGTTGGGAGTGGCCCTTATTATTAAGGTGTTTGTTGTCAGGAGCACCTGCTACACGTACTCAAGTCCTACTTCCCTGGAAGTGTTTGGCCCTCACCTGCTGACGGGAAGTAGAGAATAAATCTGTTGTTTCCCTTTGCTTCTGCACACAACCTTTGTTTTTCTTCATTAAACTGCCTATATATCAACTCACAAGTTTTTAACCTTAATTTCTTTCCCTGTCTCTCTGAGAAGGGGGAGTGAGAAAGCATTTGGATGATCACCTTGGTAGCCAGCTAAGATCAACCCACCTCAACAGATATCCCAAGAGAATGATTCATACTTGTCTTGGAGCATGGTATTGGGATGCCAAGCCTAATTTTAACCAGATAGAATGAGTGGAAAGAATCCCTTTCTAATTATTTTCAGGTCTTTCCACACTTTGATGATTACACATCAACTGGGTGATTACAGTACCTAATAGTCTAGAAAAGGACACGCTGACACAGGTGCTTTAATTCAACTCCTTGAAGTGCACAGGATAATTTCTTCTTCAATCCACGTTGAAATTAACAGCAGTAGCATCTGGATGCATCTGAAGTACTAGAACTTGCCAGTTTCCTGCACCTTCTGCTAATCAGTTGGATACACAACCTTGCTAAAGTTTGCGTTTTTGCCAATGAGTCTAAAAATGGATTAAACAGAATGGCTTCTATTTGCACATAACTGAATTTTCAAATCTTAAATTCAAGAAACAACAACAGAAAATGCTTAAGTTTTTCTCCACTGTTTCAAAAGCCTGAATACATGATTCAGAGCTCTCTAAATGGAAATTCAAGTCTTAAAGAGTTACTTCACACAGGCTAGATCTGTTGAAGGCCTGCTGTTTGTCTGGGTCTCTGTGGTATTGCTCATCATGCAAACTATGCATAATAAAAACTAACCTGCGACCTTGAATAAATATTGAATTTTACACATAGATCCACTTGTGTTGTTCATATAATTATGATAACAAGATTTTAAGCAGTAAATTCATAACCACAATCAAGAAATCAAACGTATTCTGCTTAAAACTTGGGTGACATCAGTAATATCAGTAATTAAAACATAATTTGCAAAACTGACATGCCCTATCAAATAGTACACTGACATGTCTATAAAATTTGCTTGATTTCTACAGCACTGACCACTCATATCTCCTGGGATATGGGGAACTATGAATGCTTAGGATTCTCTTGGGTGGTACGCAGTATTAGGAATGCAAGCAAAAAAAATAAGATTTTGGCTAAATATCTGCGAAAAAAAGGCTCTCACAGGGAGGTCCATCCATATGCAAAACAAAACTCTGTTCAACTGCTCTGTTGGACAAACTTAACCTGATGAATTTTAAAAAGGCTCTCTGAAGAGCTCAGTAATAGAAGATAATCCTGCTCTGGAAAAGAAGCTTACCAGTTTACCCTGACTCTGCCTATTCTATGCCTTCTAAAAAAAAACCAATCCGTGTTGGGATCTCATATCTTTCCTTGTTGGATGCAACATCAGTCACCCTGAATTTCCTTTTGGCTGGAAAAGAACATCGAAGGCTTGCTTTATCCTTCACTCAGAAACTTGGAAAGGGCCACCCCATGTTTTGGTGTTATAGGACCTCACAGAGAGCACAGCACAGGAGAATCCCACCTACCATTAAATGCATTACTAAGAAATCTGTTGTTTGAATGAGAAAAACTCAGTGATGAGCCACATTCAAAATAATTTCTCCCATTTCTGGGAAGGAAGTAGTTTCTGTAAGAATGATAAAGGCTTCATTTCTAAGAGCAAAGAGACAGAAACTGTGGTTTATTAATCAATGTGAAATAGAGCACAGCATCTAAAATTGCTAATGACTTTATCAGGAAAGTGAGCTCAAATAGAATCAAGCAGAGCACAAGAGTGGCACAAGGGAAACAGGCCAAAGGCAAGGTAAGTTCTTTACAGCAAAATTCTTCTCAATCCTTCTTAGACTGAAAATTGATTTCTACAAATTATAAGGTTCTGATCTTAGTGCTAACTTTAGATCATTTTTATTTCTTCAGTTCTTATGTTTTGAAATACAGAAGAATAAGTTTTGAATAAGACATTCTTAAATTGTCTCTGTCCTTTGATTTCAAAGCTGCTATCCAATTTCTCTCTCACATTGATGAAAGAGTAGCTCCTGTCCCTCCTGCTGTAATCATGAATCTTTCAAAGGATTGTATTTTCATGAATTATGCATTGTTATGTGAAAAAGCACTAAAATATTGTGTATAAAAATGAAAATACCATATTATTAAAATGTTATATTTTTCACTCAACCTCTATCACACACAATCCTGAATTAGAGAGTGCTTATATTACCTTCAGGGAAGTTGTGCTAATGTCTAATCAGCAGGGTGAGAAAAAAATTAACATAGCCTTTTAGTAACTGTAAAGAAATACAGGATTGTAGAAGAGGAAGGAAGCATTTAAGCCGGCAAGTGGAGTCCCTTGCTTCTACAGGTGACATATCTTACCCGCTCTTACTGTATCAGAATTTCAACAGGTTTTTCTCAATAATTTTTCTTACTTTCCTGTTTTTAAATTCAAACGCTTTCCCTTTCTTTTTTCTTCCTTCTGCCACTTTCCTAACAGCAAGAGAAAACGTTAGCATTTATAGCCTGACACACTTGTAGTGAACATAAACCAAAGGAAACACCATTTTACAATCTCATTTAATGGGAAATGCTGGAAATTCTGTCTCAACTGCCTCTGTGCATCACCCAGACGGGTAAATTACAATGACGATCTCCAACAGAATTTGTGTAATTAAATGGAGACCTGAGGAAAGCATGGTACCTTTCACCTACTCTTACAGATGACCACAAATAAAACCCAAAACAATTACAATATATTTTGGCTGTGTTTGTAGGTTGGGAAAAAGTGAATGAATTGCAAAGGCAACAGAAATCACATGAGTAGATTTGTCACATAAGTATTTTCATGGTGAAGAAAAACGGATCAGTAACTACTGCATTTATGCATTTTGGAAAGACAGAATAAATTAAGTTCTAATTACCTCTACTTGGTCAGACTGCTTGTTTTCATCATAGGCAAATGGGTGAGGCAGCTCTCCAAGTGGTATGTCATAGAACTCAGAATCATAAATTATGGTATCACTGATAGGGGCAGCTCCAACAGACTCAAAGATAAAAAATCCCAGAAAAACATTTACAAAGGTCTGCATTTTGTTTTCTTTTCTGAAAGAGAAGAAAATGGACAGATGGTAGGAACTCTGGTGTTGACAAGGAATCTATGACAATTTAATGTCACAAATACAGTACTTATATATAAAACCCACAATATTTCTGATGAATAATTCATATTTATTTGTCGTGGCTCAGTGGTTTAATCTGGTTTTCTTCATGAAGAGTCCCTGGAGCTGAGAATACTTCATACTGCTTTGGCCATATACTCATATATAATTTAGAAAAGACCTATGCAATTTTATTGGTGTTAAAAAAATTGGGAATAATATTTTTACCCTTTCATCTAACTTCACCTATTTTGATTGCAATTAGATATGAACTTTTGAGAAAGTAGAGAAAAGCTAAATCATTATATTACTTATCTCTATCACAATAAATAATCTTTTGGAATGTAATATTATATCTCTCCTCCATCATAAAAAACACTAAACAGAAACAAAAAAACCAACAAAGCCACCAACCTGTTAGAAAACATTAGAAACTCTGTCATCTCTGGATAAGTGTAATCAAAACACTTTTCACCCATTGGTTTTTTTGTCAGGACATAATTGTACTTGGTGTGGCACATCTGGACCATACTTTCACAAAGGTCTTGGGAGCAAAATAAAAATTAATATGTGTTCTCCATTGCCCTGTGGACAGCAGTGCCAGTACTCTGAATTCCTTCATTATTCATTCAAAATCATTTTTAAAGTAGTGAGAAATCGTGGTGTGGTGTATTCACCTGTTCTCCTTAGAAAATAGAATTGTAAAACTGAATTATCACCCATTTAAAGTCCTGTAAAATTGAATTATCACCTATTTAAACTTCCAGAATTTTGTAAAATGGTAGAAAATTCATGCTAGGCTTGAGAAGTAGTGTGTATACATTCCCTTTTCCTTGTAAATTATGCATTCACTATTATCATATAAGGTGCCTGACACAAGGCTCTATTCAGCCTTCTTTACTTATATCTTTATTTATCTACAGCTCACATTAATTTCACCAAAAGCCCAGTGATAATGAGTAATGCATAAGTCTAATAAACTGTATTCCTTATGTGATACATACTCTTAAATATTTAATTTCAAAATTGTAGCGACTTATAATAAAGTACAAGTAATTCATGAGACTTTTTTTTTAATGTATGTACTGGGCAACAAGCTGAATTTTAGCTTCATGAAAAGAGGTCTTTATAAAGTTGGTTTAGGCATGAGGATATGAAATTCCTCTGGGGATGGTCAGTAACACAAGGCGTTCATTTTTCTCTCATTTTCTTTATTCAGAAAGACTTCAGCTGCTGCTGGAAGAAGCTAGAGTCACTGGCTCTTCTCTTTGAGAAAGCTTAGATGAATTTCACCTTTCACTATTAGCTTCCAATATTACTAAAAGTATTCCGCTTTATTAAAAAAATAAATAAAGTAAAATAAAATAGAAATTCAATCAATCTCTGAAATAAGCAAGTATGCTAGAATTAGCGGGTTTTTGTTGGTCTTTATGTTTTCTGCTGCCTATTTTTGACAGAATTGGTTTTGGTCTTGCTTTTCCTTTCCATGTCATTTATCTCAGATGATTCAGTTATAGAGGGTGTTATCTATCAACCCAAAATGCAGTACTAACATATATGGTGTAATTTTTCCTCTGAATAAAGAATTTTTAAATAAAAAAATTGTTCAATATGCATAATTGTTTGCATGTCACATCGCCTAGAAATAAAAGATTTTTTAAAGGGTATAAGGCTTGATAAGCATGAATTTTTGCATATATAGAGAAAAAAACAGCAAATATCTATGGAAAAAAAATGTTTACCTATGGCTACAGTATCTGCACTAATTTGCAGGGTTTGCATGTCTTTATTTCCCTTTCATGTAATATATTGGAATGCACTGTAGAAATATTGGCATCTGCAGTAGCTGTAAGATCAAATATTTTTATGAAGATTATGTACACCTCTCACAGGAAGGAACTAAGACATAACCAGGGAAAAATGGTCTCCACAATCTGTGAGCTTTGAATCGGTATTAAGCATGATAAAATAAAACACATACTAGTATTCCAGCGATAAAAATTCAGCTAAGAGAGAAGTGCCAAAACTTACCTTTAGCTTCCACTGTCTCAGATGGGATGGAGCTACTCAGAATGCGGAGCCAGTGCTGTTAGACCCTGACCAATGGCAGTGGCATTCTGCGGCTGTGGGAGGTAGTACAGCTTCTACCGTCAGCTGAAGACCTGAGCCCAGGAAGTTTCTCACACTTCAAACACCTTTAAGATATGATTTTGCTGAATTGAATTTTTGGAAGGTCAAACAAAGATATGTTGTAAGGAAATGGCATTTATTTCACATAACATTTTTTTACCCCTTCCCCTCAAATTTCTTGTTGCTCCTACCAATATAGCAACAAGACTCTTAGTTGTACTCTGGAAACAACTTTTTTGTATTACCTGATAACCTACAAATACAAATTTGCCAGTGTCAAAAATCAAGGCTTAAGAAAATTGGGTTATATATTAATATTTTCCCTATATGTAACATCTCTATTTTGTGACTTACTATATTTGGTAATAAGGAGGTACTTTCCCCCCACCTTTACGTATCTGTAAGTACTTATGAAGCAATGTTTATAGAATACACTATTTCCAGTGTTTTTCTTCTAAGAGGAAGTGCCGCTTTCTTGATAGATATGAACCTCTATCACAGGCTGCAAATGGTGGGCACAAATGATGCACTCTAGCATGGGCATATACTTCTATTACACCAGAAAAAAAGTTTCACTATATTAACATGTCTAGCTATCTCTTTTCCTAATTGATTGTGTTTTCTTTATTATCAGTTCCTACTTAATTCTGTACTTTTATATTATCAATATTTGTACAACATGCACCTATTCCTCTGAATATTTTCATCATTTTTCCAACTCTTCAATGAAATATGCCTTCTAATACTGTCAACATCCAATATTAACAACAGAACCACTCCTGTATCTCTGGAAGGATGTAAGGTTCATGTATAAGTCTCCAATGTGCTAAGGAAAATTTATTACCTTTGCTTTATGTAACTTCCACAGCAATTTTTTTTTTTTCAATAAGGCCATTCTAGTGGACAAAATTTGCATGAGGCACTAAAAGCACATCAAGAATTTTAAGCCACGTGCCTTGTGGCAAGAATCCAAGATGTTTGGCCAATAGGTCAAAGGGTAGAAGAGTAATAGCTCTGTTAATAGATAGTAGAGGTTAGGGTGTTGTGGGACATACCAGATAGCTCAAGGTATCATGTGCTGTTTTGGCAATGGAGTGAAGTCTGCAGTGGCTTTTAGGAATATGACCACTCTTGGGTGACAGACTTCTTTCTTAGGAAGGTTTAGCATGAATTAATTCTATGAAAATAGAGGTCTTGAATCATTAAGTCAGGTATTTTTAATTTCTTTTTTCACTGTCTTTCCTGTTGCAAAAGCATCTTCTTCCATGAAGAATCAGGGCAGTAAGTAGAGTGAAAACACCACACTGTTGTGTCCTGTTGCTCTTCTCTTTCTTCAGATCAGTAGCCTCAGTTTACTCCTTAATTTAGTGATCTAGTTGCTTGCAATGCCTCTGTATGCTCCTTCCTCATAACAAAGCAAACATCAGTACCTGCTGCAGCAAAAATTCGTCATTCACCTTCTTAGTGCTACTAATAATTGTTATGCTGCTCCGTTTGCAAGTAGTTAACATTATTTCTCTTTTCAGTATAGTATTTTCTGCTGGCTTGGTAATTTAAGATTTATTCTGCTAAATCCTCACTTCCAATGTGTCTCCTTCGTTTACAAAACATATTCTCTCTAGGCAGGTCCAGTATTCATTCCTTTCGCTTGTGCAAAAGACCCCTATATTTTATATTTTATTGAAGGAAAAATTCTTATCGGTAACAAGTTATTAATATAATTATTAATGCTTATCTTCATTCTTACACAACTAAGTAGACTTAGGCATGCTGAGACCTAGGGCCTGAAACCTTTGTATGTTTTGGTCTGTAGGTTTGCTTTTTTTGTTTTATAAGACTGATGAAGTTCAAACAACTTTGTGTCTGGATCTTAACTTTGATTTAGTGGTATACTGTATTCCCGTCAGAATACAATATGCTTTGCTGGCCTTGTTTTCCAGAAATGCTAAGCAAGTAAAATTAATTGAAGGCAAATGTTAACTTGCAAATATTGTATTTCTATTTTTTGTTGGAGCTAGGAAAACTTATCTGAAAAAATACATTTTATATAAAGAATTTTACAAGCTTATGAGAATGATAGTTTGCTAAGCACACAAATAAGTGACGGTTTTGTTTGTTTTGGTTTATGCTTTAAAGAACAAGAATGTGGAGATTGAGTGGTGTATCTGTAGGGGACATGCCTTAGTTGATGCCAAAATTAATGTTTGGCAATTTGTTTGAGATGGGATGACAAAAGTCCTAACGCTAGCAATCTTAGACCAGCTAGAAACCCAAGAGACCCAAAAAAAAAAAAAAAAAAAAAAAAAGATAACAGAAAAAAAAGACTATTTAGATGTCTTGTGGCTTTGCTGAGCAAAACCCCAAGCTTTTTATAAAGCTCACAGAAAATTTGCACTTGAGTTAGAAACAGATTCAGATCACTGCTTGCATTTTCTGAGTCCTGTTATCACAGAAGATAATGAAGTTCCTGAGACTTGGGAGTGATCTTTTCATGTCCTCTAATTAGTCCCTTCACTGACACTTGGGTTTTTTCCAGATCCTCTGGCCTTGTGCAGTCTAAGTTACTGTCTTGTGAACTTCCTCAGCTGTCTTTAAATCTTGCTGTTTGGCTTAGTTGGGCTTGATTAAAAGCTCACTGAAGTTAATAGAGAGTTCCATCCCATTCAGTGGTTTTTGGGGCACTGCTTAAACTGGAAGCATACCCAGCTGTGACCATTGCCTAGCACATTCCTAGGAAGAATGTATTCCCACTGCATAACTTCTGGCAGCAGTAAATGAATTAATTTATTCCCCTGGTTTTTTGAGAGG